AAAGCAATAATATGGAAAATGCTCACAATGATGGAAGTACCTGTCCTCCTGCATTAGTCATGGCAGAGGAGACACACACCTCTCACATTTCGTATATGAAATATCCATTGGTATTGGAAACAATTGTTCTATGGCTGTTTGCATCATTTACTCCAGACCCCATCTTCCTTTCCTTAACCTCTTTATTTCCTGGAAATACAAATTTGAAAACTGTCCTGTTGGTCACTACATGCCTCCACAATCAAACAGAAAAGCATAAGGACTTCAGAATATCTAAAATATGTAATAAAATTACAAATACTCCCAAAAGTCCAAGAGAAAGGAGTTTTCTCAGTTATAGCTATTTTAATTTTCTCAAGTGAATTTAACTCAATATTGCTTTCCAAATTTATAAACGTACCATTAATTTAATATTATGATTAAAGCAAGAAATACTGTTTCCTTTTCAGTGTTTGCCTCAATCTGTATAATCATGAAGAGTCAATCTAGAGATTTCGCCCGCACTGAATTTTCTAAAACACTCTTGTGCAAACATTAGTCCCTCCTGTTTAGTTTCCTGATAGCAAAATCACTGAAACCTATGTGGTATCAAAGCTCCATAAATCTGAGGGCCAGTGTTTGAAATGTAGTTTCACATATTTAACTGTAATTTTTCCAAATTGATGTTAAAAATACATAACAAAGCTTCCAAAAAAATATGATCATGAGAATGCTTCAAGACAGAAACATGGTAGGAAAATAGGCAGACTGTCACAATAAAAAGTGGAGCTGTCATGTCTTATTAATCAATTAGGTGGACAATAATGCGTCTGATGGGTAAGGGGTGGGGCAGTACCTGAGTGTGTTGAAGTCAGTGCTTCTTTCTCTCTCTTCTTTCCTTTGCCTATTTACAAATCCAAGACAAAGATAACTCTCGAAAAAGTAATTCAAAAGTACTGTCTTAATTTTAGAAGACAGAATCATGATACTGTGGGACAAGTGCTCAGTACATAGCCAGCAGTCCTAAGATGGGGTTTCCACTTCCTCCACTTCTAACCAGGAGCTTATGCAAATCCCTGGCTGATGGAAGCCTCCACCCTTCTGATACCCAGCTCAGTGTTTTGAGATGATGATGAGAAATTAAATTGCTTACGAAGTTGTCTACGGAGCAATACATTCTTTCTTGCACAAGTGTTGTTTTGATAAATTTTCACAATGACTCCCATTTCGTAGTTCCGTACACTGATCTCAGGCTAGTAAAAAGCTTGCCTGACCGCTTAGAATGAGAAGGGTCAGGGCCCAAACTTGACACAATCATCCTGATTCTAAGTCTTTTTTTCCCGCTTTATTATTCATTTCGTAGTTCCGTACACTGATCTCAGGCTAGTAAAAAGCTTGCCTGACCGCTTAGAATGATAAGGGTCAGGGCCCAAACTTGACACAATCATCCTGATTCTAAGTCTTTTTTTCCCGCTTTATTATTATGTTTGGGGAAGATGGAAAAGAGAAACTCAGGGAGACCATGTAATGGGAAAAGAAAAAGTAGTCCATCAGGCATCTGCCAAGGGAAATAGCTTAAACCATAGGTAGGTACCAAGGTGAGGAATCGCGGAAGAAAGGAAGTCAAAGAAATTTAGATAGTTTATAATACGATTTTTAGAAGAAAGAAGACATAAGAGTGCTAGTAGTTGAGCTAGATTTAACATAATGTTATTATTTTTCTGTAACGTTTTTTCAAGTCATAAACCTACTCCGAAAACTGCCAGCAGAGGGCTCCATGCTAGATGCATTTGCTTTCCGTCGGTGACTTCCTCATTTATTGGATCATATTCCCTCTATCTGAGGCTGAATAAAAAAGGAGCATTAGTAACTCTCTTCTTTGCTGTTATAAACTGAAGTAAATATAAGAAAAGGGAAAAATACGAGCATAACTATCTGGGATGTCTCCAGCGCGCTTCCACCTAGGCAAGTGTATGCCTGCCTGAAAAAGAAATGCGGGCATAAGGCAAGACGAAATGATACCAATGCATATTTTACTGCTTTAATTTCCCTTCCAAACTCAAAGTTTGTTTTAACTTTGCGTTTGCATTTATTGAGTTCTTGTGGGAATCTTTTCTACGTCACACGATTGGGTGTTGGAGCGAAATACAGTAGAAAGTAAGAGTAAGAAAGGCAGAACCAAGTTAGGAAAATTTTTCTCAGTAGAGGTTCAGCTTCTATTCGAACAGTTTTTGAGGCGTTTGAGCTTCTTAGATGTTGAAACAATAGTTTCTAAAAATTAGTAGATTAGTAGATATAGTAAGAACTGAACTTTTAAAATGCTGTTAGCAATAACGTTTTCAAGAAACGAAAGAAATCTTTGCCGAAGGAGAAATCTACCGTGCAGTATTTGCTTCTACAAAATCTCGACAGAGGGCGCTGTTGCCCGTTCAATGACTTGTGGAACGCTCCCCGGGAAAGGTTTACCTTGCAATTTTTAGGATTTTCCGAAGAATGCTCGCGTTGAAAAATTAACTAGGATTTTAATTATGTTATGTATTTCTATGGATATCTCTTTATATGTGTGTGTATATGTGTATGTATTTTTAGGTTTATGCTTACTAAAACCAAATTTGTTATTTTTCAGTTTTCCTAACGAATGTAAATCAATTTTAACCAAATATTTCAAAATGTTTCTACTTTTAAAAAGACCTAATGTTAGCATAAAATAAAAATACATATGAAAAATCTGAAATTATACATATATAACGCTATAAAATAGTTATGCTAACACAATACATTACAAATTTTTAAATAGTTTTATATGTAAAATTGTCCCTCTCGGGTCGTTTTGTTTTGTTTTATTAAGTTTTGGAGCTCATTTAATTTAGACTAATCAATTATATATCAAAAAGAGAGAGAAAAGGTGTTAAGAGCATTTAGAAAAAAATAAGATATTTACAAGTGCTTTTCATTTGAGTTGGAATAATCTTTAGAAAATAAATAGAATGAAGTTATTTATTTGAAAGGGAAAAGACAATTATTCCCATTAATAAATCTGTGTCTGGAGAATCTGAACTTACAAGTATATGATATATGTCTTTCAAAGTATTGATCAGGGACTGATTTTAGTTCTAGAAGGCAGAGTATGGAACCCTTTCCAAGACCCTCCACACAATAAGATTAGGAAGAATGCTTTCCCATCTCCTAGCTCTGGGGGCAAAGAGAAAAATCTTTGCTGATGCTCCTAGTGGAAAACCTGTAGAGATTCTGTATGGTTTAAGGTGTTAATATTTTTAAAAAAGGAAAGAAAGGAAGAAAGGAAGGAGGGAGGGAAGGAGAGAGAGAGGAAAGGAAAGAAGGAAGAAGATGAAAGAGAAGGGAGGAAGGAAGGAAAGAAGGAAAGAGAGAGAAAGAGAATCCGTGAATAGGTGTTGAGAGGAGAGAGAAAGAAGGGAAGGAGGAAGGGACGGAGGGAAAGAAAAAAAGGAAGGAAGGAAAGGGAGGGAGAGAGAAAGAAAGAAAGAAAAACAAAAGAATGAAAGAAAGAGAGAAAGAGAAAGAAAGAGGAAGGAAGGAAGGTGGGAAGGATAACAGGATGGAGGGGAGAAAGGAAGGAGGAAGGGAGAGGCAAAAATAAAAATTAGAACTGGAAGGAGGAAAGGGTTTATTTCTGAAATTTCTTCTTAAACACCTTATTTGATTCTTTTATCTGACTTATCTTTAAAATTTAAATTAAAAATCTGAGGAATTGTTCATTCTGCACTATATGACGCGTCTCCTTGGCTTTTTACGGAATCGGTATCCACCGCGGTTGTCCGAAGCCTCGGAGCCTCGCACAGGGCAGCGCGCAGCAGTAACAGATTTAGACAATCGCTCTTTGCACATTTATTCTTATCAGGTTTAATAACCTCCACCCCAAATTGCCCCGTCCCTCCCCATTCCCTCCTACCATTTTTTTCTACCCCAGAGGCAAATATCCTCCTGTGGGGCTTCCATTCCGGCTTTGGGGAGCCTTTAACACCCTAAGTAGGAAAATAGAGGGGGTGGAAAAAGGGAGAACAAGTGAGAATCCTTTCGTGATGAATTTCAGAAACCCTCTGCCTTAAAGAGCACCCCATTTCCAGGTTTGGATAACTTTGTTCTTGTTGTTTATGTTTTTTTCTTAAAAAAAAAAAACTATACAAGTCACGTATAAGAAAATATACACTAAAAAATAAATCCGGCACACCCTAAAATATTTTTCACTGTTTCCTTGAAGAATATTCGACTTAAACTTTCTCAGATTCAGATGATCATTTCTTGACTCTCCATGATTAAAACCACTTACAAGTTACAGACAACAGATGTAAATATAAAATGTTCTATGCCTTTGCAAAGAAGGCTCAAAATTAACATTGTGTATGTGTATGTGTGTTGCTTCCAACATCTTTAAAAACTTCATAAACTGGAGACTCCAACTCAGAGGAATGGCACATGGAAATCGGTTGAAAACACACACACACAAACAACCCCTAAAACAATAAGCAGTACAGACTGAGGTGTTCATATGGTATTTAAATTTCCAAATGTGTTTAACGAAATGACCAGAAAATATTAGAAATGGTCATCATGGTGGCTAGCTTTTTTGTTCCACAGTGACAGAGATAAAGTTTAAAAAAAAAAAAAGAAGTGCAGCCATCAACACAGAGAGATCCCTTAAAATTCCCAAATTCAGCTTTCAAAACACCCTTCTCCTGAACACACATGAATAATCGCTTTTGTGTTAGAAAATCTCAGTAATGGCCCCCCTTTTAAAGCCTACATAGAAAATAGGGGACTGATGGCCCCTTTACAAATTGTAAAGACTTTAGTTAGTGACTACAATTATTCATTTTCAATATAGAGGTTTTTTAATGTATATATTTATATTAATCGCCCTGAGCAACTCTCTCTCTTTTAAATGCACGTTTAGAGTCTGTAGACTTTGTGTGACCCAGGGGTGCTTATGTAACTAAATGTGGATGTCTGGGTGTAAATACATGTTTATGATTTTTATAATATATATGTCTGTGGGTTGCATCTAACTCCTGTGTGTGCAATAATGTTTTTCCCTTTGCTGAGGCTTACTTCTCCAGCCTATTGTTTGAGACAACAGATATAAGTTGCGATGGGAGAGGAGCGTCGGATTTGGTGTGTATCCCCCATTTCCAATTATAGATGGATCATTACAGACAGCGGAGTCCTGAGAAGCCAGACATCTGCTCCTCACATGAATGCACTCACCTCCTAGAGACCAGGCTGCCATCATGCTCTGGAAGCTCGTGGAGAATGTCAAGTACGAAGATATCTATGAGGTGAGTCGACACCCCCAGATGCATCTTAGAGCTTTGCAGATAGAGAATTTGAGCTTATTGACACCCCAACTGATATATTTTTTTAAGCTATTTACTGGTAGATTTCCGGTCGGTTTTCTCAGCTTTCTTTAACTTTTAGGAAAGCTGTCTTGGGGAGAGACTTCGCCATTCTGAAAAAGGACTTTAAGGTCGAAATCGGGCAACTTTAATTTAAGAGGTTTTTTTCCTTTTTCTTTTTGTTTCTGTCTTCCTTCCCCCCACCCCACCCCCACCCTTTTAGGCTCTGGTGGGGAACGTGGTGCTACTGAATGTGGGCAGACGGTCAGAGAAAATAGAGATTCTGATAAAGGCAGGGGCTCTCCTCGTTTTGAGTGTGGGAGAGAATTGGGTTTTCAAGCCTCGTTTATAACAGATTCGGGCTTTGGGTTTTTATTTTTAATAAAATATCTGAAATCGATAACAAACGGATCCAAGTAGAAGAAAGAAAATTGGAGAGGGAGGTGGATAGATGGACGGACATACGGATCGAGCACCACGTAAGGAGCCGTAGCAGACGATCGATCGTTTTCTCTTGCGCTTTGCTTCTTTGAGGGTCGGTGCGTGCAAACGGAGATCGCAGCCGCCCGGTGTCTGGGCGTTTGTAACGAAGTTTTCCGGCTGTGCTCAGGGCGCGCGGTTCTCTAGCGCCGAGGCTGGCGCGACTCTGCCCGGGCTGGAGAAGTCGCGCACACCCGGGCGGGCGCCTGCAGCCTTCGCGGGGCCCGGAGCGCGTTCGCCGCGGCCCTTTTCGGTCTCGGGCGAGAAATGAGGCGGCGGCCGGGCGGCTCCGCTGCTCGCGGGCCGGGCGGGAGTTCGGGCGGGGCGCGGGGCGCCAGGCGGGACGGGCAGGGGACGGAGGGACCTCGCGTGGGAGACTCCGTTTAGTGCCAGGGAAGGGAGCAAGCAAAGGCTCCGAGGAGACGTCGAGGGAGGGAAGAAAGAAAAGCTTGGAGAAGGGCCGAAGGGAAGCGACAGCGGAGTTAGGAAGGGGAGAAGACCGAGGCGGGCGAGCCGGGCCCCGGAGACCGGCAGGAGGAAAAGTTGGCGACAAGAGGAAGAGACGGACGCACCGCGCGGGCGGCGGCAACGGGCAGCGCTCGCTCGGCCCCAGCGGTGGCGGCGGGACGCGCACAGGCTCCGCAAAGGGCCGGGAAAGAAGCGCGAGCCCGCCGCGTTCCGCCGGGACTCCTGGAAGCCCGGCAGACGGTCGCCTTGCGGACCTTGAGAACGAGCCACTTACAGAAGCGGCCAGCCCCGTCCTCCTTCCTACAAGCAGACTGTGGCCCCGACGAGCGCCCCGCGGGCAGCGGCCAGAGCCCGCGCCGGGTCCCCAGGTTCTGGCCATCCCTGAACCCTAATTCTGGGATGTGAGACAGAGATTCGTCTTTCTGCGAAATGATACTTGGGGTTTCCCTTTCCTCTTTGTGGCTGCTTATTGACTGTACCCAAGAGCCGCGCCTCCGCGCCTGGTGGCGTTTGTTTCGGTTCTGCCTCCTTTTCTCTCCTTAACAGGCAGAATAATGGTAACGTCGAAGACGCTGGAACTGCCTGAAAGAACAGGAGCGTCCAAAGTGGGCATGACATTGGCGGGAATGGGGCCACGGTGTAAACCGCTCGCAGTATACGTAGAGGGACTTCAGTGGGTACTCAAAAGTGTTCAGAGTAACACTCGTTCTTTGATTATGAAAAGTAAACTGGCTACATGGAAAAGGGGGGAGGGAGAGAAGAAAAAGGGAGGGAAAGAGGAAGAGGGAGGAGTGAAGTGCAGGATGGGGGAGAGAGAGGAGAAAGGGGGGAGGGAGAGAGGGTGCGAGAGAGAACATTACAGATATGCCTGTCTGTCTAAATTTTCTGCTCAAAAAAAAAAAAAAAAAAAAAAAAAAAAAACCAGGAGAACCCGCAGCGCGGTGGAAGGAGCCTATTTAAGTCTGGACTAAGGTTGAACTTTAACAGAAATGGCAGTCAGGCCAGTTGAACGGGTTCCTGAAACATCCAAAAAGGTTTTCTGTTGCCCCTGGCTTTGCCTGGAAAGGATAAGTTTAGTGTACTTGAAGATTGATTGCGTATATTTTAAATCGAGTAAAAAATTGCAGACTGTGTGAGCACTAAAGAGGAAAAGGCCGAACAAGGGCTGGAAAGCCCCCATCGTGTTTCCGTCCTATAATAAATGAGCATAATCTTCCACACTCCAGTAAAAGTCTGGGAATGTCACTCTGAGCAACTGAGCCCACTGGTTTACTTTTCTCTCCCCTCCAAATGATGAGCAATGCCTTTTCACTTTGTTTTGTAATCTGCACACAAAGCACCCAGGGCGATCAATTCTCCCCATTACGAAAGTCTCTGTCCAGGTACAAGGAGACACCTACGTTCTATACAAGCCCCCAGAGCCGTTCTCCCTCACAGCCTTGTCCAAAGGAGCAGGGGCTGCTTTACGCGTGTCCCCGGCTCAGTTAATTGAAGTTCTGCCTCTTTCCTGCTAAACTTTTTCCCCAGTCTGCCTTTGCCAGCCCCCTCGTCTGATTACATCTAGTAATTCTCCACTGAATGAACGTCATTTACAATAGTAGGGGAGCTCTGAGCTCGCTGCTGCTTCACGCTCCATTTGTCCTCCATTCTCCCTTTAAAGTACTCGTGTAATATTAATAGTCATGAATATCAATTATTATGAGGCGGTGTAGGCAAGCAGAGGGAGGAAGGGGCGCCCGAGCAGTCTGAGCCCAGCTTCGGGTGGAAGAGGACTGCATCTGGAGCCCCAAAGAACGGCAGAAGAAAAGAGGCCAAAAAGACAGCAAGAGACAGATGAACAGTTCTGTCTGTGTGTGACAGGCATCGCCAATCTTTGTGGGGGGGGGGGGGGTTTTTTTTTTTTTTTTTTTTTTTTTTTTTTTTTTTTTTTTTTTTTTTTTGATGGCTTGTCCTGGAAACACCTCAAGCTCGTCTCCTGTGCCCAGCTCGCTTCTCTGCTGGACTCCTTGATTTTTTTTTTTTTTAATCATTGTTTGATTTTGAGCAGTAACCAGGCTTTTTTTTCCAGATGTTAGTCCACACCTATTCATCCATGGTGAGTTTGGATTCACGTTGTACCAGAATTGCATGCTCCCTCCTCTCACTGTCTCTCTGTCTCTGCGTCTCTGTGTGTGTGTGTCTCACACTCTCTGGCTCTCTCTGTCTTCCTTTGAGCGCCTTTGGCTTGGTAATTTAGCACCATAATTGGACGAGGCTGCAGCTGCTTCTCTCTGCATTGTGTGTTCTCCGTCTGAGCTCCATGAGTCAGCTGGGAGGGGGGAGGCCGAACAGAAAAACTTTTTATTTGCCATTGCAGTTTGGAAATTTGGGTGACTATTTCTGCAAAAAGAATTGTGAGGACTTTACCATGGCATTTTTACAGAGAGAGAGAAACTTAAAGTCCCCTGCCTCCCCCGCACACCTCCCCCTTCTCCTTTCACTTAGCTTACACTCCAGATAAGACTTAAGAACAAGTTGTCTGGGCTTTTTTCTCTCCTTCCCAACTTTAAGTGCTTCATTTTTACACCCTAGAGTATAATAGCATCGGATGTTACAACAACACCACCAACAAACTTAGGAATAACTCCTGAGAACCATAACTCAATTTAACATGGGCTTAGGAGATGATTTCGAATGAGAGCTGTTTAATCAAACACTATTTAAGTTATTAATTCCTCTCGGGGAGGGAGGGGTGACTGCGAACTCAGATCAGGCAGATTCCCGGAGCTCCTGGAATTATCAGATTGAATGGGAAGCTCCTGATCAGCTGGCTGCATCGCTAGTAAAAGCAGAAGTTGGTTTTTAAGCAGGAGGAGCAGCACAGCACATACTTTGAAGTTTTATTTGTTGTGCTTTGGACCTCTGGAAGAGTTCGAAAAAAAAATAGTTTAGAACACCCAGAAGAGCAAATACCATAATGAAGACTCCTACATTTTTAATTAAGGCATTTAGAATCCTCCTCCATACAGTTTCTTGACCCGCTACCATAATGAAGACTCCTACATTTTTAATTAAGGCATTTAGAATCCTCCTCCATACAGTTTCTTGACCCGCTCCCATTTCTCCTGCTTTGCACTCCCAAAAGAAGGCTCAGATGTTAGCTAAGTGGGTAAACCCCCCCCCATTTTCTCCCCAAAGCCTCGCGTTTGGAATTGCTGAAATCATGTGGCCCACTGATTCAACTTGGGGGTCTAAGTTTCAGACTCTTGCTTCTTCCCCTGTCCCGGGAAGAGCGTACAAAAATCGGACTTCTCCATTTGTCGCTCGTATATTTTTTTGTTTTGTTTTGTTTTGTTTTGCTTTCTTCCTCTCTGTCTCTATCTCTCTCTGTCTCTCTGTCTCTCTCTCTATCTATCTCCGCTCCCAGGACCGGCACGATGGCGTCCCGAGCCACAGCTCACGGCTCTCCCAGCTGGGCTCGGTGTCCCAAGGACCCTACTCGAGCGCCCCGCCGCTGTCCCACACCCCGTCGTCAGACTTCCAGCCGCCCTACTTCCCGCCCCCCTACCAGCCGCTCCCCTACCACCAGAGCCAGGACCCCTACTCCCACGTCAACGACCCCTACTCCCTGAACCCACTGCACCAGCCCCAGCAGCACCCCTGGGGACAACGACAGCGGCAAGAAGTGGGTTCGGAAGCCGGCTCTCTCCTGCCCCAGCCTCGGGCCGCCTTGCCCCAGCTCTCGGGCCTTGATCCCCGGAGGGACTACCACTCGGTCCGCCGGCCGGACGTGCTGCTGCATTCGGCGCACCACGGCCTGGATGCGGGAATGGGTGACAGCCTCTCTCTGCATGGCCTCGGCCATCCCGGCATGGAAGACGTCCAGGTAATCACAAACAAACAAAAAAGACAATAAATAAGGAGTGCCCCGGGAGGGGGAGGGGCAGAAAGGGGGCAGCTCTGCCTCCTTTGGGGGAGGTTGTTCGCATCTTTAGAACAGGACTAGCTGGACAGAACATATCTAACTGTTTATGGGTATATGTATATATGGCTCTGTAGTGGCAATTTCTGGAGATCCAAATGTAAAGGCCAGACCATTAGAAATTAAATCATGAAGGAGAAAAATATGTATGTGGTTTGATAGTTTACCATCATGGGAATCAAGGCTGGTGTTTTTGTCTTGCCTCGGCTACCCGACTCCTGCATTTTCTTTAGTGCTTTGTGTGAGCAAGCTTCATACCCCCTCACTCGCCCTGCCACACTAGCATGCACACCCCATAGTGGGCCTGTCCCTCTGATTTGGTAGGTAAAGACCTGGTTGCCTAAAGGGTAGGACTCCAGCATGAAGGTGCAGGAGCCTCTGGATGCTCCAGAGGTTCCTCCTGAATTTGCAAAGATTTTGCTAAGCATGGTAATGAACATTGGAAGAAAGATGTGCACTATGTTCATCTAAGCCAGGTTTTGCTTTGAATGTCCCGTAAGCCGCAGAGACCTTTTCCAAAATAGAGTTCTAGAGTCACCTCTCGAGAAATGGAATATTTATGGGAAAGAGACCCAGAAAACCAGAATGCGGTTTGGGAGTCCATGAGGACAGAGACCATATTGGATATTCTTTCAGTTTTTGGCCCATTAAATAATTGTGGAGCAATATTCTCCAATTCCCTCTCCAGTCTTCCCCCTCCATTAACATTCTTCTCTCCCCAATGCCACTATCCCAGTTGAAGAGGCAACACCTGTTTATTTCTTAAAACAAAAGTCTCAAAACACTCCTCCTACCCACCCACTATCCCATCTGCAACCTACACAATGAAGTCTGATTTGGTTGAGAATATTTGGTTAAACCAAACAAAGAAACATCAAAGAGATTCCTCCTAAAAACTGTCTGGGCGATTCTGAGCAGTTCTCCTATTTTACCTTAATTTAAATAGTCTATTAAAAAGATAAATATGATTGAAAGATATTTAATTGACTCTTTGGTCTCATTAGCATAGTTGTATATATTATGCATCATCTTAGGCATACCTCTGAAGCAAAGGAAAATGAAATTGGGAAAGAGAAAAGGGTGCATGAGTCATTCTTCTTTACCTTGCTGGAAAAAAAATATTTTTAAACAGTTAAAATGTGGTGATAGCATGAAATGCTGTGTGTGATTTATGATGGTTTACTGTTTTGTTTTTTTTTTAAACCAGTTATTTGAATGTGGTGATAGCATGAAATGCTGTGTGTGATTTATGATGGTTTACTGTTTTGTTTTTTTTAAAACCAGTTATTTGTTTTCCAAAAAGACAGAATCACCTGATTTGTGGCTGGATTTACCTATAGTAACAAGAGTGATGGTTTTGTTGATTTAACTGAGCTTGACTGCCCCTATTTGGAGATATTGCTCCTTTTGGAATACCATAGAAGAAAGAAAATATTTGTTTTTTTTAATGAATTGGGGTAATACGCATCTCGGAGGGAAAAGTTTTTAAATTAACCTTTCTGAGTATGGTTCAAAGTGCTGGATAATGAAAGTGTATCAACTCATCACTATTACCGTTGGTGATGCTGACACCGGCTGTGTCACCACCACCCTGCAGGCCAGTAACTCAGGCAACCGAACCCAGGAATTCTTCCCCCAAAAGAGGGAGAAGATTTTCTTGGTTTCAGATTTTTTTTAAAGACAGAATTGTGAGAGTTTTCAAGTGTTTGGCAAAATGCAACGGGTGAGAGAAAAACAAGACCAAGTCAGTGTACATGTGGGAGAACACCCTTGTCAAAGCATCGGAAAGGATTTACCGTGTTTGTGTGAACAGAGCACTGCCGCCCAGTTGCTGCGGTGGGGAATATAGACCACAGAGGTGGAGAGAGCCCAGAGGAGAGAAGGAGCAGTCCGGGACCCCCGCAGGTTCCCCGCCCCACCCCGCCCTGTTCCTCCCCCAGCTTCATCCCAGCCAGTGGCCTGGCGAAGTGGGGAGGCCCGCGGGACCTTCTGGCGAGGGTCGTGGGGGATGACTTCAGTGCAAGGTGTCGTGGGGGATGCACCCCGCGTCTGTCCCAGGAGGGAAGCAACAGGGGCAGGAACGGTCCCTGTCCCCGCTAAGATGACAGGCCTCCTGAGGCCAGGGTGAGGTAGCAAGTAACAAAGACGGGGAAGTGGTGTACTTAGGACAACCCCCCCCCCCCCGTCCCCCGAATCCAGAGACTGCGACTCAGCTGCTCTATCCGGAAGGATCCACTTCCGAGTTAGGAATCTGGAGCTCAAGGGCTAAGGTTACACAAGGTGGTCGGGGTTGCAACGTTTCAGTACAGCTACGGAATGGGTGGGCTGCTACCATAGTCTTTAAAAGGGACGGGAGAGTGCTTCGGCCTGGACCTCCAAGTCACTTGTTCGATCTCAAGGGCCTGGTGTGTGTTCCGAATCCCCCCAGGCACAGACCAGACAGACCCCAAGGGCGCTGCCTGGTCTTGGGTCAAGGACTGGGGAGTTGTTGTGCGACCCAGACACACACACGCAGGGCCACCGCCCCGACCGTGAGAGAAGAGGAGGAGAGCTAATTAACCAAATGCTTCTAATATTTTTTTTAAATGAAACTATAAAACCCTGTCAATTTCTATTTCAATTTACTCACAGGGGCTATTAAACTAGCAAATCGCTGTTTGGGTTCTGGGTATGCTACATTTCACTCGTTCTATGTGGGTTGGGAGATGCAGTGTTAAAAACTCAGAAAAAGAGCTATGCAAAGACAGAAGAAGGGCGTGAGATGACACCTGGTTTGGGATTTGTTTTGTTGCCATGCACACCTCTCCTTCCCATCTTTGCTTTCTAACCTCCCATCACCTCTACCACCCATGAGTATAAACATACAAGGATGTTAAGTCAAGCCCCGCCAAACACACACACGCACAAACACACACACTCAAACACACCCGAGTGTCTTAAAGCAACCCCTGGTATCACTTTTAACTAAAGAAGTCTAGTAATTACGAGTCTGAGTTGTTTTTTTGCGCTTCCGCATGCAGTCCTAATTAAATCTTTACGATCCTCCCTGTGACGATTAAGCGCCAGCATGCTGCGTGAATATCCTGTACAAAAACCCAGCAGGCGGCCGTAATTAGATAGAAAATCAGACAAGAGCCTTCTCATTAACTACCACAACTACCCCACGTCGCTGATGAGGCGTAGATACATACTTACGTACCAACGTGAGGGTGAGGTGTGGTGGCTCACCGGTCCAGGCCCGTGTGAGCGGGGTCTGTCTGCCCACAGACACAGGTGAATATTTCTGTCCCGTGTGAACACATTGCCACTGTAGACATGCGAGCATAGAAAGGCGTGAATCGGGTGTACGTGCGCACGTGTGTGTGCGTGGCGGGCCCCCTGAGGAGTTCTGAATAAGTTACATGAAGTATTTTTTTAAACGGCGTTTTACTGTTTCTTAAGATGAACACGGCATGTTGCAACACGGAAAACAGTTCTTATGGAGAATAACAATTTTCCTCACCTTTCTGAGAACAGAAGAATGACTATTAAAAATGAAAAAAAAAAAAAAAAAAAATTAACATGTCCCTCCATGATTAGATCATCTCAAAAAAACCTATGGCTATACTTCAAGCACAAAAAAAAATACCAGGTGGGTTACTTAAGGAAAAAAAAAAAAAAAAAACAAATTAACATGTCCCTCCATGATTAGATCATCTCATTTCTAAAGTGCTGCTTGTTTGGGATAGACGGTCTTTTTCTTGTGATGAACACACACCCTGTCTGGGGATGCAACGTGAGTGGGTGGGAGGTGTTGTGAAAACACCACCTCACTCTCAAGCCCTGTGCTTTTCATGTCTCTATAGAGCAGGTGACACATTGGTCCAAACTTAGCTTTGTAAGAGTCAAGGAAACCAATTGTACATTTCAGAATGACCTAGCATTTATTTTTATTGGAAGTAGGGGTTTGGGGAGGGAGGGAATCCACTGCTTTTGGATGCCCTAGATGCTCTGCCAGAGCCCCATTCATGGGCATCTTGACAGTAAGAAACTCACTCCAACAGCTATTCCCCCTCAGACATGCTGCCAGTGCTCAGGGTTGAGACTTTCTCTGGATGAAATTGTGGCACAGAAGATGAATGTTCCTTGAGATTACCTAGATGCTGAGTGGGAGGATCCAGGTCTTTGTGTATGTCAGTGTGTCTGTAGTTACTGCCTTCCAAACAGGTGTGCTCCTTGCTGGGAGGTAGCATCAGCAGAGTTGGGAGGGGGAGTAAATTGTGCCCGCTCCTGCGAGGGATTGTCTTTGTGCAGCAACAAGCTCATAGCTCACAGGAACACGTATGGACTGCAGTGGGTGTGCGGTCCTGGAGGCTTGCAAACATGTTCCTATGTGTTGCTGTTTGCATTCCATTCCAAATTGCTCAGACTTTAATTAAAATCCCATAATATAAACTATTATGTATTTGTAAAATGGCTCTGGGGTTAAGATGCACTGGGATAGAATGAAAAACAGATACCGCTCTTACTAGTATTGGTAAAAGTATTTTGGCTGTTGCCAAATCTTCACAATTCATAGGAGCATATAATATAAAGGTTTATACGTCTATGAAATATCCATGTTTTACATGATAACTAAGCCAATATTGTACCCTAGAAGTCTCTCACCATTTTCTTTTTTCTCTTCTTCCACTGGAAGAATTTATAATTTTGGTAAATTTCATTTCTATGTCTATTTGGAGGTAATAATGATAATAATAAAACCTCCCTTCATGAATTAATATAAATGGAAATAACAGAAACTCCAGTTTGGAATGACATGATTTATGTGTGCAATTCTTTAATATCCAGTCAATTTGAATAGTGATGTTTTTATATTCACAGTCAGTTGAAGATGCCAATAACAGCGGCATGAATCTATTGGACCAGTCTGTCATTAAAAAAGGTATGGATTATTTCCCCCAAAAGTAAGCAAAGTTTTCCTGTGCATTAATATCTTTATGATGCATTTTCACTTTAGAGGAATTCATTATTTTATAAGACCAAATGTTTGTTTAGCATCATAGGACAATGGCTGTCAGACTAGGTAAAAGGGCATATTGGAAAAAAGGAAATGGGGCAAGGGAGAGTGAAAACCATAGACAGAAACCCGGGTTAGAATGTTTGTTTAGCATCATAGGACAATGGCTGTCAGACTAGGTAAAAGGGCATATTGGAAAAAAAGGAAATGGGGCAAGGGAGAGTGAAAACCATAGACAGAAACCCGGGTTAGAGAGACAGAAGGACAGCAACTATGGCCTTTTGTTTCATGGTACATTCTAGATATATCTTAAATAATTGAACTATCACCACGTGTGCAACTGGCTGGAAGACACTGGTTTCAAAAATGTGCTATAATTATTTTATTGATAACTGGAGTTTGCTGAGCTAAACCCTGTGTCATTGAGAGACAGCTCCTTCTTCCGTTGTTTTCGTATTCGATTTTTTGGTGGTAATTTTGTTCCCAGTTCTCTATGTTTTATGAGTGGTTTCTTTTATTATTTTTTTTAATTGTGCCAAATGTGTTGCTAAATATGCGCATCCTGAGAAGCTGAGACAGCCTATGCACATTTCTAAATCTTCCTACATATGCATTCATGATTTAGTGTGACTGTGGAATCACCCCATACTGTTAAAGGGCATGTGATATTAACAAATGTTTGCAGTCTCTTGTACAGCTGTAAGCAAAATAATTAACTAATTAAACTAATTAAATGTAATTACAATAACTCATTTCGGGCATATTGCAGCTGCTTAATTTTTTTACTCTTCTCTGACAGTCACTGAGAGAATGTCTGGCGATTAGTGTGGCTGCTGAAAGGCCTGAATGTCACTCACATGGCACATATTTAGGAGCTTGAATGTGCAAACAGTGCAATCTTTAATTATCACAGGAACTGGCATTTGAAGATACAGTTTTCACTACTGTAACCCTTTCTTATTGATGCTGAAGAAAACCTGTCCTCATGTTTGTTGTCAACAATCCCCAGCTTCAGTCATTTATGATTCACTTGAGCCACTTGACATTCACAAAAACAATTAAAAGAAAAAAATGCTCTGGAAAGTAATCCATCCAGAGTCAATTGGGATAGTAGGAGGGCGGTGGAATAAAGATTCCAAGCAGGGTGAGGTATTCCAAATTTTCTTCTTTTACAAAAACAGAAAGAGTAGCATTAACAGTTGGGAAGCAGTACTTGAAATGATGCCATTTGGTGTGGGAATGAATAGACTGAAGAATAGTAAGGTTTGAGGCAAAACTATTTCTTTTAAGTGTCGCTCAAACATCTCTCCCTCACTTCTTTAGATAATATTGTTTCGGTTTTTAATGCCAGGTTTGGAGTTTGCTAGGATATCCAGGCTGGGGGCTTCCATGCTGACAAGCTCACTTTCACCATTTCCTCTTGGGTCTTCTTTTTTGGTTAATTGCTGGTTGATTGCGGTGGGGTCGGGGAGGAGCTTCTCCATTGGCTTTTGTTTGGTTTTGTTTTAGTTCCTCCTCCCTTTTCATCGAAAGCTCGAACCATTTAGCTCAGGGTTCCGTATCCTAGCAACATCATTTGGCCTGGCAGTGAGACATGCCCAACAGATGACCAATCAGAAATGTTATTAATAACCAGGCCAGTAAAAATATTTGGAATTTAGCTTGCTTGGCAAAACAGAGCTGAAAATATTCTTAGATGTGTGATGATTTGGTTTCAGGGCTTGTATATGTTTGTCAGCAAAATGTGAATATTTATATATAAGGTTATCTCTAGGAATAAGAAAAGGAGAATATTGACTAAAGTTGATGGTTCTGTTTTTGGAAACACTGGAGTACTTTTTATTTCTCCAAAAGCATTTTGAAAAATTGTACAGCTTGAAACATCTAAGTAGCACTCCAGTCCACTTTAATTGATTCAAGGGGTATGGTCTGAATAGAAAATGTTAGGTCAGTTTCATTATTTAATATTTAGATGTTTGCTTTATTACATCAAGAAAAGATCCTAATATCATGCCTTTTATTCAGAAAGCCATCAGCAAAATAGGAATAATGGTCTATTTATTTTTCTGACTCACTATGAACCACTGAAAATAAAGTTATGGGTTCGTTAGTCTCTTCCCTGCCCTCTAGTCTCCCATCTTTGTCTACTCCCCCCCATGAAGGATGTCTCCAAGAGATTAATTTTGTAAAAGAGGTGAGAAAGTTTTCTTTAAAAAATATGCTCAGTTTTAACAACTGGCAGGGGACTCAGTTACTTTATGTATTTTCTAATTGGCTTTCAGACAGATTTTTTAAAATTCTACCTCATTAATAAAAGGCTAGAAAGTGGTCTGGCCTTGGGTGTCTCTACCTCTGTGCTTATAAAGCCAGACGACTTGGGCATAAAAAAGATATGTCTCTATCTCTATGTCTCTATATCTCTAAAGCCCCCTCCTCAAATTTAACCAGTCTAATTTTTCACCCATGTTGATATCACCCCATAGATTATAAGCTCCCTCTCTTGTTATGTTTGCTATCTAGGCTTAGCTGACATTTCTGAAGTAATTTAGTTAAGAGGAAATGAGTTGTTCCCAGTAGAGAGAGCAAACGAGTGGAGTGAAGGTAGCCAGCGTGATAAATGGCTCTTTCATTTGAAGATCTCTGGAGCTCGTTTACGGCTAATTTTCTGTATTGGCCCCCTTTGAGCTATTAATGCAATCGGCAGGGACCGTGGCCCCTCTCCTCTTAGCTGCCCCATTAGAGCTCCCATTAAGCTGCCTAGTCTCAACTCCATGGCAGGAGTGAGTGGAGTAATGAAAGGTGCTTTTTAAACTCTCCTAATCTAAACTGGCAGAGGGTGGTTAATACGATTTGAAGGAGGCTGGTCAATGAGCAATCAATAAAGTAATAATGAGAAGGATTCGGTACATTAACAGTCTAAAAATCCAACAAGACATTAAAAAATCATTCTTAACTCTCAGTTCCATTAAGGTTAGGAATCTGGGAGGGTGCAGGGGGTGTGCTCAGCTAGTAAGAATGATCACTGCCACCATCATATAGCCTAACTAATAAAAGGATCAATTAGGCTTTAAGAAAAAGTTTTTGGTGCACTCAGAAGCCAATATGCAATGTTTGACACCTTAGACGGCAGAAAATATGCTGGGATTTCTTGGAAAGACTAGCGTGGCTGGAGTCCAAAGTTCAAATGTTGTGACTGTGGGGCATTTTCGTTGGTCTTAGGGATATCCTGTTTGGTTAGTTTCAGTTCAACCTCCGCTCTCTCCCACTTTTTTCCCCCCATTAGTTCTGGCCCCTTCCCCACATAAACACTTTGGTTGGTGTGGATTTTCTTCTGGGAGGAAATAAAGAAATTGCCAAATTTCAATTATAATGGTTCTGTAGGGATTCTTCCTTCTGACTTAGAAGGTAAAAAGCACTGAGGGTCTATCAGAGCCTCTGAAAGGAATGAGTTTCCTCTCAAAGGAAGAGCATTTCCAGTGCTGACTTGGATCCCAATAGCTATTTATCAGCTAGAGATCCTGAGATACATTCCAGCCACCCAGGGAGTGATCATAGTTCATAGAATTTCAAAGCTGGAAAGGTTAGACACTCTTCACCCCCCACCCCACAGAAATTGAGAGAAGACAAATGACATTCTCAAGGTGTTGCACACCACATAAGTGATAAGACACAACTCAGTTTCCAGCTTTTCAGACTCTGCCCCTAAAGGATGCCAATACTGGATGTTTGCAGTTTTTTTATATTCCAACTTTCTTTGTGGGAATTTTTTTTTCTTTCCACAATCTCAGTGCTCATATTTATACATGTGATATTCATGTGGAATACAATTTAACCTTCAAGTAGATGAGAAATGATGTAAAGTAAGGAGAGGGTACTCTGCTGGTGAAAAGTAATTATTTCACTTTTGGGGCCACTCTGAATCAATGCTGAACCTCTTGGTTGTTTCCCAATGTAGTTTGCATATTTAAATCAGAGTTCCTTTCAGAGAGACTTAACTGCTTAAATCTATAAGTTCATTTTTTACCTTCTCCCCACCAGCAGATCAAGCTATGATTTCACACTTAAGTTTAAAGAGTAGAGATTAAGAGCCATCCTATTAACATTTTAGCTCCATACAGTTCACTAGTGAATAATATTTTGTCTAATCACTTTCCTTCCTCTCTCTTAAATAAAACTCGAGCCACTGAAATGAAATAAATATGTTTTTAAACCTTTTTTCTTCTTTTCAACATAATGCAGAGAAAAAGGGAGGGGAGTGAGTACTGTGGGTGTTATATCCAGAAGTTGGCTGTGCTATCCAACTGAGAACTGAAGAGAAAAAAAAAAAAAAAAAAAACACTTTTAATGTATGCACAGAAAATTGTAAACATATAAAGAACTGAAAGCTTCATGCTGAGTTTTGCTATGCTCCATTTCCTTACCATTTCCTGCTGTCGCTTTAAACCTATCTCGGTCATCTCTGGGTTCCGTGAACAGGAACAGTGTGCTCATAATTACTAACAAATCAACCGGGCCCTGTTGCTCTCTGGGTTTATTGATAAGCTGAAGTAAAGCAGAAGGGAAGAGACAAAGAGAATAAAATATGGGGTTAATCAGCTGAACTAAGCAGGTGTGAGAGTGAGGTGGGAGAGTGAATGATAACAAAGCTATGAACCTAAAAGAAAGTTGGAAGAAATGTGTAGGGTCTAGTCTAGGGGATCAACACTAGGCCAGGGGAGGAGAGAGGTTTAGAAGCTGAGGATAAGAGGATAGAGGGTGGAAACATGATTGTGATACTTAAATTAGAAAATGGAAATGTACACTCTCCCCCAAGACAGCGGTGTGCTGACAGAAGCTGACTGGATTGGGAGTATTTAGATGATAATATATATGCAGAGAGGTACAGCCCAAGGGAGGGAGCAATATACATTCCCCAAAGGAAACAGCTCTTGTCAGGTAAATCAGGCAATTAACAATAGTGAAATTAGAGGGCAGGTTATAAAGTGTCTCTAAAGGTCTGGCTTTTCAAAAGATTTGGCATCTGGGACTTGAGATGCAGGCAAAATTCCAGTCCTTAGGAAAGATTAGGTTACCCAGTGTAGGAAGCAGGAATTGAATTCAGTATTTTCAGCTTGGTGGGTTTTTCTGTGGTTAATATATTCTTCCTAAATAGAATTTTAAAATAAAAAGGTTGCTAAGAATCAAAGATGAGATTTTTATACGATTTCTATAGTTAACATCATATTAAAACTACGAAGGACTATATTGGGGATAAGTTTTTCCAAGTTTACTAATGTCAGTTCCCATGATCATAAGTTATTTGTTTAGAGCTTTGAATATGAGTCTGAAATATGAAAATCAGGACTGCTGTGAAGAATAAGATCAATTAATATAGATGTGGATATTGTGTAGGAGAATTAAATGTCAGGGTGTTCCCACCCCAGTCATCCATCTATTAAGCGACTTTAACTCCACATTTTGCTCAAGTCTGATTAATACTCATACTTCAACTTTTCACTGGTTCATTCTCAAATGAGAAGCAACTTCACTATGAGAATGAGGAGAATCAGAAAGAAGTCCCCTCTGTGCCCCCCCCCCCCCCATGACAGTGCAGAAGATCCACCATGTTACCTAACATCATTCATCCACCTGGGACAAAGTCTTGGGCTCCATGGGCAGAACCAGAGGTCCTAAAATATCTACCAATAAGTAGCAAAAGAGAGTACTTTCTTTGCCCCATCCATTCCCCTAGAAAAGCTCTTTTCCACAAGGTATTTGTAAAGGGCCAAATGCAATTCATAGAAAATAAAAGATTTAGGGCCTACGTGCCTTTTAGGAGTCTCCAAACAATTGTGGAGGTTTGAATGCTGCAATCTGTGGCAGATAAACTGTTACAAAAATACTAGGTGTTGGTTAATCTGTTCAGTACAAGGGAGATTATGCATCTTGTCTGACATATAGGGTTCTAGGCCCCAGATGGTAAAAAAAAAAAAAAAGTGTTTCGTTCCCTCATCAGGATTATAGGGTGAGACAGTCTTTATCAAAGAGGTAGGGGTACAAACCTCTTTTTTCAATCCAGATGTACATTTCAATAAATTTCCTGGGCTGGTGACCAACAAATACTGTGAAGATTGGGGGCTTCATATACTAATGTAAGAAACTAAGGTATAAGGCAAGTAAGGAAAAATCACCTGCCCAGTGGCCTCTAGAACCTATGGGAGGAAAAAACTGGCTTGAGCAGTGTGTAAGTCCAGGGGACAAAATTGCAAGGGATCTGTGAGGTTGACTGTTGCATCTCACTCCAGACTTCTGGTTCCACTGAGCCCAACCTCTTCCTGACTTGCAGTTGACACTGAAACACAATTAAACAGAAATACAGGCTGGAGAGGCTGAAAGCACCAGGGTAGCAGTGGCAACCAGCTGTCAACTCTTATTAACTTCTGCATAAAACATACCTTGAGTGCGGTTTGTTATCAATTACTTGCCAAAGTGAAACAACTGGGGCAAGGCAAGACCGCTGCTCATGTGAATTAGAGTGATTGGTTGATTGATCAGGGCACCTGTTGTAAATCATAACTGCTCCAAACGATCACCAGCCGGTGCTTTAATTTGTAAACAAAATTCATGTCACTGGAATTGCTTTCACTGGAGATGAGCATTTGGGTTCATTTCTAAATCAATCTGTTTTTGTTACGTAGGAGAGAATGTGGCTTACTTTAAAAAGAGCAGCAGCTCTTTGGGGTCTAACTCTCCCACTCAGTGGTATTGCCTGTCTGTTCTTGGGCATAACATCTGATGGTGCCCACCCTCCTGATTCTCTCTGGTGATGACCATAGATTTTGGTCCAAAATTAGAGAAGGGGGAGTCCCATAAAGACCTTTGGTATTACCATTTTATATCATTGAACGGTAATAATCATCTTCAGACTTCATCACCAAATGACATAGGCATTATTATCTTAGAGAGACAAATGAGGAAACAGATTCAGAGAGGTTCCGTGAGGTGTCCAAGGTTACACAGCTAGCATGTGATGGAATAGGATCTGCCTGATTTCGCAGCACAATCTAAGCTCTGGAATGCATGCTTTCTTGATCTGTGTAATGAGCGGGGCTGTGGCAAGCGACATTCTTATGTCTACACACATGGGGTAAGTTTCCAGAGTGATGGCTTTTCCATCTGTTTTCTCACAGTGCTCTGAACGCACCGCACTCTCACTGGAACAAACACTTCCTCCCCCAGCTTCCACTTGGCGCCTATCCTGTGGTCTCATGCAATGACACATTCTATCAACCAGTCACCAGGATCGAAACCCGGTCACCTTTATGGCATTTTTTTTTTTTTTTCTCTCTCTCTCTTTAGTTCCGGTTCCTCCCAAATCTGTGACTTCTCTAATGATGAATAAAGATGGCTTCCTGGGAGGCATGTCAGTAAACACCGGCGAGGTGTTTTGCTCGGTCCCCGGACGTTTATCTCTGCTCAGTTCAACTTCAAAGTACAAAGTCACTGTGGGAGAAGTTCAGAGACGGCTCTCGCCCCCCGAATGTCTCAATGCGTCTCTCCTCGGCGGCGTCCTCAGAAGGTAAACTCCCCCACAAACCATTTTTTTTATTGGGTGGGGGAAGAAGGCTCAAACGAAAACCAACTTGAAGTCCGACGCGGTTGCCTAGCGACCGGGCGGCCGGAGCGCTGTCCCCGGAGCTGAGCTTGCGGAGTGCCTGGGCCGCCACGTGCTCGGGGCCTCCCGCGCAAACGCCGCCGCCCTCGGACCCACCCCAGCGGGCTCGCGTCGCGCACGCGCAGTCTCGAGTTCGCAGATTTTTGCGGACCTGGGAACCTTCCGCTTCTCCGCACCCGGGCCTGGAGCGTGGCTCTCTCCGACCTCCCCCGGACACCTCGAGGGCATTCTCTAGCCTAAGAGCGCGACCCAGAATCTACACAAACACGCACGCGCGCGCGCACCTGTCTAAAACAAGTTTCATTTAGCAGCTCCATTCATACCTTGAATGTACTCTGATAATTTTCCACTTTTTTTTTTATCTGTTTAAAATTCTGTTGGCTACTGGCTAAAGTGGTCTCAAGACCCGCTAATGCATTGTGCCCCACAGTCGGAAAACCTCTTTTCTAGATTCATGATTTCCTTACTTTAATACCACCACCAAAAATAGCAATACTGCTACTTTGGAAGTATTAATAGTTATCGCTTCGGGCCATTCAGATGCTCCCCAACATTTCAACCCGTAGACTGATTCCTCGTGGAAGCAGAGAAGGTAGTCCTTTCCCATAGTCCCTGCCAACACCTGAACCCTTTTGCTGTGTCTCTGATATGAAGGTGACTTTGTATGAGACAGAACTTTTCAAGTTAACCCACTTTGTTTTCTAAAAGTGGCTGAATAAATAGTACAGCAAGAAAGGTCATAGTAACTGATTTATTTATTTTTCCTTGCATTTTTGCCCAGACCTTAGCACAGACAGGGAGAGCCATGGGAGAAATTAAGGGTGCGACCCAGGAACTTTCTCATTTTGAATGCTCTTGCTTGGCCCTACTTTGATTGAGTTTTCAAGCAAGCCACAGAGTATGAAAGTTTTCAATTACCCTCTGAGCATTGAGCATGTGTGTATAAAACTTGCTTTAAGATTAAGGGAGATAATCAATATAAAATGCTTATCACATAGTTAAACTCTCAAAAGTGTTAGTTTTATCATTATGATTATCATCACCATCAGTTTTGTATTTCAGTCTTTCCTCTCGTTCTAACACAACTCTGTTATATAGCAACTCTCGACCTCTTCCTTGCAAAGCCCACCTGTTTCAGCAAGTGCCTTCTCCTCTCTGAGCCACTTGGCTCTTTTCCTCTTTCCATCAAGGTGGTGCTTGCCCAGTTTCTGCTCACCTCACTGGCTCCATGACAAGGAGGGAACGTATATGTGCCTGCATGTGCAACTTCTACCTTCTCTGGACCCACAACCTACACCGTAATTATTCCCATCTGGTATCCTTTTTTCCTCAGGAGATTAAAAAAAAGACTCTCTCTTTTTTTTTTTTTTTCATTTTAATGCTCTGTATTGCAGAAATTAAGCAAACCTCAGCAAACTATCAGCAAATAACCAAAAGGAAGGGGAAAATGTGCTAACCTCAAGTTAAAACCTCTTCAAGCTCCACTGGGCTTTAGATTGCTAAATCTAAACTTTGTTTCAGGAACACTCTGAGGTTAATCAGAATGTTAATTCTTGCAATTTCAGAGCCAAATCGAAAAATGGGGGGAGATCTTTGCGAGAAAGGCTAGAAAAAATCGGTTTGAATTTACCCGCGGGCAGGCGCAAAGCAGCAAATGTCACGTTACTCACCTCCCTGGTGGAAGGTAAGCAAGACGTGTGGCCATTTCATGAAGTGGCTGAGCTTAAGTGTCAGCTGGAGGCTGACATTTTATACATTTCATGATTAACTGGAAATCATTGCAATTGTTGTGCCCTTATGAGTTGGATGTCAAGCGGCTGCTTGAGAGAAGTTCAAAGGTCCTTTTACTTAGAGGGAGCCATCAGTTGTAGAGAGGCCAAGGGACGTGTAGGAGGGTCCCTAAGCTCTGAAGAGTGCTCAGGTCCAGCCTCCAAACAAGGGCAGGGGTCACCTCTGATGCCACGTGTGGGTCGCAGTCTCTGAAACACCCTCTTGCAAGAGTAACTTTGTAAGCAACAATCCATTCTATACCCCTTCTCCTTCCCAGATTTTACCTCTTGAATTGTCAGTACTAAAAAACGCTTTGTATTCATGACCCCTAATGGCTATTTTAAAACTCAGGTCACTCCCAGGGCCCAATTTCCTGCTGATTACCTGGGACTTACTGTTATTAAAATATTGATAGCTTAATGAGACCAATGATGCCTAGCAAAATTTGGTGAGGTGTAGTTAAGAAACGTGGAAGAGAGGTATGATCTTTAATGTAGATTCATCAGTTGTAAATTGAAGGGTCATAATGGTAATATGCATCTTCTAATTTGCTTATCGGTTTGGGTTTAGAGATGATATTTACAGTAACTAAGTTCATCTACACAGAAACAAAAGGATCTGCAGTTGAATTTGTGGGATGGGGAAGGCATAGGAAATACAGCCAGATGGTCCTAATGGAGAAAGACATAGAATTGTCTCTAGAGTCTAGCTTATAGGTCTTATTTTTCTTTCCATTTTAATGGATGCAATATTTTGACACTCTATTAGGGAGTTGGTTTTTGGAGGAGGGGATCTTAGAATATTAACACAGCAACCATAACATCATAACAGTTATATGCCTTGCACTTTGCCATCTTCAAGCCAAAGTTGCTTGACCCAAACTTACTCTCCAGAGGCAACAGTCACTGAATTTTCAGACCACACTTATTAGCAGTTGATTCTCAGCCTGGGGGTTTCACATTTTGCCCTTCAGGGAATTGCTAATATCACAGTCCTCATTTTGAAAAGCAGTCAAGGTAATCTTGGCCCAAGACAGGGATTTTGGTGGCAAAGGTAGGAAACTAGAAAGCCACTGAAATTCTAATACTTGGTTGGCAGTTTTGGGTTTTACGAATTCATGTAAGCACCGTGCCTGAAATCTTTAGTTGTTATTATTATAATGATGATTAAAAATAAGTCATGCTCCTTAAAAATAATGTAGCTATGGGATAATTCAACATACCTTTTTCATGTTTGGGATCTTCCATCAACCCCCTAAGGCTGTCCTTTAAAGGGTAATAATGCTTTATTCAGAAGGCTTCCACATAAGCTGGGTAATACCTTATATGCCCTGGTTTGCTATAGCTGCTGTGTCATCTCTATGCAGTAGAAAGTCCTTAAGTAGCAAGATGATGACAAAAAACTCTGAAGGGAAGAAACCCAAAACCCATCTAGCAGTAAAAGTGATGACAAAAATAATTATTTCATTGCTGGATACAAATACTCTTTCCATGTACATTGTACATATATTATTTATATGTGGACATATACAAACATGGATTTGTTTATATATTAGTTATTAATAAGAAGTATTTTTTCTCTAAAACAATTACAGGAAGATGATGGTGACTTTTAAATTTTATTTAAAGCAGGTATAATGGATGCTTTAATGAGAAGAAAGAAACCTGACTCAAATATCCAGCCAAATGTCTAGGTTCAATTGCAAGGTGTCTCTTGAATTTATTGGCCCACTTTTTCCTGAAGACAAAGCAAATAGGGTATGGGAGACTCCACTCTTCAGGGGTTGTTTAATTTGGACTTGGCCCAGGGAGAGGCTTGAAAGAGCAGCAGGAGCAAAGTTTGTCCCATCAACTTGAATTACAACTTAAGAATTATTTTTATTTGGGGCATCTGTCTCAGCTTTGCTTTTGCCTCCAGTAAGTAGCTGGCCTCCTCTGGAAATACAAACAGAATTGACTAGGGAGTTTTCCTGCCCTGGGATGTTAGGGACAGGGTGCTGATTCTTACCTCCACTGTTGTCTTTTCAGGAGAAGCTGTTCACTTAGCTCGGGATTTTGGGTACATTTGCGAAACAGAGTTTCCCGCCAAAGCTGTCTCTGAGTATCTGAACCGGCAGCACACGGACCCCAGTGACTTGCACTCCCGAAAGAATATGCTGCTGGCTACCAAGTGAGTGTCCCAGACCCTCGGCCCTTATCCCTGACTCCCACCCTATTGGTCCACCTGGCTTGGGAGGTAGCCCTGGGGAGCCATAGTGCAGACCTTCCTTTGTGGAGCAGAAAAAGGGCTCAAGTGGGTTGTATAGAAGTAGCATTTGCAGACTGTGGCGTGCTGGCTTGGAAGCCATCCCAGCTCTCCTCACCCCTTCTGAAGGGGTGGAGGACAAAGTTGATGGGCTATAGGATTGTCTCAGTCCTCGTCTCTCTTTCCACGTCTGGGGAAAATGGCTTTATTAATCTGAATCCAGGCTTTTTACACTTCTCTTCTAGAACCCTGGGGATGTCAGGCAGACCTTTTCTGGTTGGGTCCCTGTTCCAGCTCTTCCCTGGATCTCAGGTGTATATTTCTGCCTGGGTTTCACATCTCTCTGCCTATCATATCCACACAGCCACGTGTGCTCGCTCAGGGTGTCTGTATGTCACCCACGTGTACCCATCTCTACCCACAGCTCTAATTACTCCGTTTCCAACATTGCTGTTTGTCATCTTCCACAGACTTGTAAAATTTACTACAACTCCAGAGGGGAAAATAGTAAATCTCTGGCTAAATTTAGGCCTCGAGCTCATTTGAACTTTTAGAGTGGGTTTTCTATTTATTTGATTTACTCCTGTCTTTGGCTTCGGTGTCATATTGTTGATGTTTTATGGCCGGCTCAGGCCTGCAGTGGGTGGTGCTGCGTGCGCCCGCACGTTTCTCTCGCAGGCGCGGCCCAAACATCGGCGCTCATTTATTTAGTGCTCCAGGACGCGGTTTGTCCCGTTGACAGCGTAATTTAAAGAAATATATGGAAGGCTGAAAAATCATTTGCTCAAATTTGTCCAGATGTTTTTGAGACGTGATTGGAATTTGATTGCCCCTTTCCGCAGGGTCAAAAAATATTAATGTCCCAGAACTTTAATTGCTTACAGACCCTGGTTTGGGCTTTGAAGATTTAAAATGTTTGACTCTAAGCATTTGTTCTCCCCAGTTCAGAATTTCCTTTTTGGCACTTTGGTAATGAGTACAAACTGAAGAAAGACTTTAACCATCTCTCTCAATTATCAAAACCTGGCACCCACCCTCTTTTTAGTGGGTTTTCCTCTGATGAAATATAATATAATAATAGATCTTAGTAGATTTGCACTGCTATTACCTCTTGCCCTGGTGACGGGTGGTGGGTGCTTTATGAAAGATAAAGGGTACTTTAGGGAAAAAAAATAAAACCAAAGTGTACAAATCAAATAACAGGATTCCATGAACAACTGCTTCATTTCCCTAAGGAATGCTTATAACTGTCTCTCTCACACACACAGACTTACCCCCTCCGTGAAGCCTTATGGCTTCTCTTAGGCCAGCACTTCTTAACCTGGGGTGAGTCTCAGAATCATCTGGGGAGCTTTTTGAAGATATTTATGCATGGAGCTTTTCTCAAACCCTCTGAATTGGAGTCAATGGAGATGAGGGCCTGGGAGTATGTATTGGAACCCCCACAGGTGATTCTGAAGTATCTCTGGCTTACTACCCTACTATGCTCAGAACCATTACCAATTTGTTCCTGGTTGTGGGGATGTGTGTGTGTGTGTGTATTTCAAATGCAGAAACTAGAGGGTAGAAAGACTGCCTGTTAGTGTTCTCTATCCACCAGCCTTTAAACCAACAACATTTCAACTGCTGCGGGGGGGGGGGGGGGGGGGGGGGGGCTTTTT